GAATTTTAAATACTATATATCAATTTCAAGAAAACCGGAAAGGTGCATTATTATGGTACTGAAAATTACAGTGCTCAAAACCAGAAATATATATATCGCAATCATAAAGTCATAAATATTTTCTAAATTCCCTGGAGAAGCTAGATATCACCTAAAAAGCATTAAGCTAGTAAAAACTCCATATAGACTACCGTTGTTGAGATATCGAGTTGTATCTATCGCATTTACTGTTCCTGTTTATAGCCTAGGGCGGGCCATATTGTGGCGTTCAGGCCTGGAATCGATACTCCGAACTCGAGACTTGATTAATCAAACGGCCAAGAGCGGGTCGGGGGTCTTTTTTGGGACGGGGGTCGGAATGTACCCCAAAACCGTTCTGATCGTATCAAGGTACATTTGTATATGTAGGGCATGAGCCTGACTTCAGAGTATCTCTACAGTGATGGATTTATTTAAGAGCACCCAACTCCTTTCTGACACAGATATCCCAAGTAAACTTGACAGTACCTCAATTCTTCTTTTCTACTCACTTATGGCATACACTTCAGACCTCGAAGAATATTCGAGGCTACGCCAAGTATTCCAACTTAGCAGTGAGCAACTCAATTACCATCCCGGAACTTCTGCTATGCAACCACCTGCCTCTGCGGCCGGACAGTCACCTGTACTACCTACGGATTGGCCTCTTTACGACCTTTCTATGGGCCACGCCTCCGCGTCTCTTGACCCCAACTGGACTATTCATACCACCATGTGTCACCCTGCGGTGGACAACTTGTACCAGAGTGACATGCATTCTTTCTCGACCAGGCAGAATGGAGCTACTAAGGTTGGCATTGAAGACCATCTTAGTCCCGGTCAAACTATAATCCAGACCCAGTCCTCGACATTGAGTCCCTCCACCCACGAGCCATCTCCACCAAACAGGCAGAACATTGAAATTGCTGATATGGAAGCAACTTCTGCTCATGGCGAACTCCAGAAACAAGAGTGAGTTACATCTTCTCACTCTTCCAACTTCATCGTTAACAGTCTCCCTTCTATCTCAGTGAATCGGACCTGCCTTTCAAGTGCCTCTGGGACGGCTGCAAATCCCGCAAGACGTTACAACGCAAGACGTTCAGCAGCCATGCATCGTTGATGCGCCATATCAAAGAACAGCATGTCGCACATCGCTCCGTCAGATGCCCAGAATGTGGTCAGAGCTTTGGCCGCCTGGATAACATGAAAGAACACCGGGGAAGACGCCACAGGATGTTCGACTGAGATTGGTGTTGGCGATGCTGAGCTTTGGGCTTTTCGGTCATGGGTGTGTATAAGCTTTGGAGTTTTAAGATATGTGATAGGGAAGGATGGAAAAAGCTGGGAATATGAAATGTGTTAGAGCCTGAAATAAATCAATTGCACTGGAGTTCTAGAGTGTGAGGTCAAACTAAACCATCCAAATACCAAGCCCGAACTGGTAGCCCCACCAATCCCGTTCCCGAGTTCCCGATGTCTACCCAGGTATGGAGTAGACATCGTACTTCAACAAAGTTCAACACACTGGTCACTGTTTGAATGCATTACTAGCTAGTAGAGATCATGAGATAATGAATAAGGATGCATTGGAAAGTGGAAAGTGATTTAGTCCTGGCACTGACGCCTCCCAAGACCCGAGGGCTTCTTGAATCATCCTAGTACTAGTCCGCCAGGTGGCTACAATTCATTGTGCCGCAATATGACCTATGACTTAACCCCTAATTATCCCCATTATTTACTATTTGCTGCTAAGAATAAAAGGAAGGTGCTTGCCCTTCAAAAAGAAAGAAAGAAATCATGTAAGGAGGCTTTGATCCAGACTCTGATCGCCATCATTGATTTCCTGTCTCACATAATCAAGTACAAACTTGCACCGGTACCTCTTCTACGTACATAGACGTGTGTATTCTTATGCTCTCGGCATGGATGATCAAGACTGATAACCGGAATCTGCTATCAATATCTTATATCGAAAAAGTGTTGTGTATGACATCATTCTATCAATGGGTCAACCCTGGGAAGAACCTTCAGCACGAGGGGAGCCTCTCCCAGAAAGAAACCTCATTGGCTCCAGTATGGATTTGTAATCCATGATTAACCTTCCAAGGTTGGTCAGTGACGGGATAGTGATACACATGATCCCGATCGCCGCAAGCGGAGAGAATGCATATAAAAGAGCTCACAGCCACTCTTCATCCTCAATTCAATTAAATTACAAAACATCAACACAATTAACTTATTCCTGCTCTTTCATCAATATTCCCATTTACGAAAGCATCCAAAATGACACCCAAAGTCCTCGTCGTCCTCACCTCCCACGACAAGCTCGGCTCCACCGGTAACCCAACCGGCTGGTATCTGGTATGCAACTCCGATGACAGCTTCAAATCAGACAGAACACCTATCCATTCTGTTATGAAGAGAAACAAATTCAACAATGAATCCCTTACTGACCATACATCCCAAGCCCGAATTCGCCCATCCCCACGAAGTCCTCCACAACAAGGTTTCTCTAACCATCGCCTCACCAAAAGGCGGCGAAGCACCCCTTGACCCATCCTCCGTAAAGATGTTCGAGTCAGACGAAGTCTCGCAGAAGTTCCTGAAAGAACAAAAATCCCTATGGACGAACACGCACAAGCTCGCAGATATGCTTCCGCGCGCAGGCGAGTTCGATGCCGTCTTCTACGTTGGCGGTCATGGACGTGAGTGATCCTTCTCTCCCGGGATCTAGTTATAGTTTGGATTATGAGGTCCCATCTGTTAAAACCACCTCTAACGAAATCCATATCCAGCAATGTTCGACCTAACTGAAGACCCCACCTCACTGGCTCTAATCCAGACTTTCGCAGCAGCCAACAAGCCCGTCGCCGCCGTCTGCCACGGCCCCTGCGTCCTGCTGAATGCGACTGCGCCCTCCGGCGTGCCGCTTATCTCCGGCGTCGGTGTGACCGGGTTCTCGAACGACGAGGAGGATGCTGTGAGTCTGTCTGCTGCGATGCCGTTTATGCTGGAGACGGAGTTGGGTCGTGTTACGGGTGGGAAGTATGTTAAGGCTGCGGAGCCTTGGGGGGAGATGGTTGTTGTTGGGAAGGCGGCTGGGACGGGGTCGACGATTATTACGGGGCAGAATCCTGCGTCGGCGACAGCGGTTGGGAAGGAGATTTTGAAGGCTTTGGGGTTGTAGTTTAGTTGGAATTAGGGGGTTGGTGTGATATTACATGTGTATGGTCATATTTTGTTTCACGTTAGTATATGTATCACTCTGGTTTTGATTGTACAAAGTATGCTTGAAATAAGTAGTAGTTTCATATTACATAGTACTTCAATTCGAAGACACAAAGCGATTCATATTGGTAGCGAACCAGGATCAATAGCAGTAGCGAAAGGGGAATAGAGCAAGTGACCGACATGAAACAAAAACAGCAGCCCAAATTCGATAGATGGGGGAAGGAAATAAGCCAAGACAAGAGGATATTTGTCCAGTGGAAGATCGAAGACCGGTGAAGGTCGAGAGATTTGAAGAAAAGGAAAAGCACAAACAGATGTCGCAACCAAGAAAAGAATACATCAATCGTATCGCAGTATTCGTCGGTCTGCCCATCTCCAGGATATGGAGATGGAGACCTTGTTTGGTCGTTCATCAGACCGCGCTCAATAGGCAAACACGACCAATGTCTGGCCGGGAGAAGGGTATACGATTAACAAAAGATACATCCTGAATCATCATAGCAAATAGAGAGCCAGGGAAAATAATCAGGAAGAATGAAAAAAGCAAAACTGATATGGGGGAACGTCCGAGAACGTCGAAGCCTAGCGCCTTGGTCCATCCTCCATGTTGCTGGTCAACTTGGCCACGCGGGCCTTGATGCGGGCGACACGGGCCTCGATGGCTGTGAAAACGACAGTTAGCGCGGGGTCGGTTTGGGGAATGAAGTTACTACTCACTCTCTTCTCCATTAGTATCTCCCTCGTCAGTGCGCTCTGACTGGCTAGTCCGGGTGTTGGCCTGGGCATCGTGCTCGCGTGCCTGTTCCGCCTGGGCAGCGGCAGTTCGCTGGGCAGCAGCCTCACGAATCGCCTTCCAGCGATCCTGTGTATCTTCGGTAGATTCGGGCGAAGTGGCGGTCTCGGGGCGGACACCGTTGCCGTTAGTCGGGGTCTGGGGAAGCTCGGTCTTCTGTGCTGCAGGTGTTGCATCCACAGGAGAATCCTCGGGGACGAAAGCAGGCTGGTCAGTCAGTGGGCCCTGGTCGAACTTGGAAAACTCCTGATCGGCCGCGTCGCGTTCGTTCGTACCAACGCGGGAGAGAGCATCATACTCGACGGCACGTCTGGTCTTGGGCGGCGCACCGTTCTCTTTCAGAGAGGCGGGAGGCTGAGTCGGGCTTGAGGGTTTTGTCACAGGTTCATCGACGGTCGGTTGAACACGCTCGGGAGATGAGGGCTTTTCCGGCTTTTCCAGCTTAGTAGCCACGGGTGTAACCGCGACAGCGGCGGTGTTCGGGAGAGGCTTCTTCTTCAAGGGACCGGACTCCTGAGCTGCTTTCGCCTTGGCCTCGAGGGCGGCACGAGTAGCTGCCACATTGGAGATCTCCTTGATATCAGCGTTCTTCACGGCAGGCTGTGGCTGTTCGGGCTTCTTTTTGGCACCAAACATGCTCTTAAAGGCAGAATTGCCAGTCTTCTTCTTCAGTTTCTTGCCCATCTCGTCCATTGATTCCCGACGCTCAGTGGGTTGTTCAACAACGGCAGGCTTTGTAATGGGCTTCTCCTCCTCGGGAATGGTGACATTGACAGGCTTAGTTGGCACTTCTTTAGGAGAAGGGGGAAGAGGGGTGGACGCAGCAGCAGCAGCTTCTTTGGGGAGTGGCGTGGGTGCGCTCTTTGTAGTGTTGGTTGGAAGAGGTGCCAACGGCGTGGTAGGCTTCTCCTCGGCATCCTTCGAAATCGGCTCGGGTGTCTCCTCGGGTTCTTCAATATGACCAGTGCCAGCGCGGTTGTCACTGAGATATGCCGCCCTGAAGGCACCCTTATCGTAGTTCTTAGTCCACTTCATGGCCTGGGAGGCCTCGTTCACAATGGCAGGCTGAAGGGTCATGACGGAGTTGGTCTTGGAGTAACGGCTATTATTGGGGGTAGCACGGTTCTCTTTCGCCTCCGCTTCTTGCTCGCGGTGCTTCTTTTGCAGAGCCGCCGCAGCTTCCTGGATCCGCTTGTGTTGATCCGGCCCGATGCTGGTCTTGCTTTGCGTTCCCAGGTTGTTGGGCCGCTTGTACGAGTCTTCAATGGAAGAAGGCACCTTCTTCGCGGACGACTTGCGGCGACTGAGCTTTCCCCTACGGCTACCAAAGCTGAAAAATCGCTTCTTCTCGACAATCTGAGCACCTGCCTCAGGCTCTGGGGCAGCACCCTTGACCTGCTCTTCAAGGATCAGCCATTTGGTATCCCGGATCCTGGTCTCCAGGAGCGCGCATCGACCAAACACAGCCTTGCGGGCGGACGGCTCATCGCCAGATAAACTGCTGATCCAAACCCACCAGAACGAGTCGTCCATGTCTAGAGTATTGATACTCGCCAACTCAGCAGGCTCGAGAGCCGGCTCGATATCCAAAGAGCGCTTGTGCGACTGAGAGCTCATGCCACGTGCAGAGGCAATTGGAGGCAGAACCTTGTCAGGAGGCAAGAGCAGAGGGCCCACGTGTTCCTTTAATTTGTTTTCATCCGCGAATCCGGATGACATGAAGTCTGCCCACGAGGGGGTGGTGGGACGACCAAGGTCACCTGTTCCAGATTGAGGAACGGATTTCAAGCCCGCCGCAGATCTACTCTTGGCAGTCACCGGCGGAGCAGTTTCCTTGGCTTCATCCTCCGGGTCAGAGTCAATCGAACCACCGAACCCAATATCCTCAAAGCGAGACCAAGATGCATCCCGTAAACTGGTTGACTGCTTGGTACTCGAGACGCTGGATTGGTTCGCAGATGAGATACATGTAAGAACGCGGAGACACTCGTCGGTCAATGCGCTAACGGGGTCTTCGTAGTTGGCAAATTCCTGTAGGTGCCAGTCGTCGTCGCGGTATTCAAAGTTCTTGGCGCGTCGCAACAAGGAAAACGGCGTCGGGGAAACATTTTCCACAATCATAACCACCTTTGTAGTTGTAACTTGCAATAAAGTCGGTGTCTCAGGAGGGTATTCGGTCGCTTCAACGAGTGATTGGAGAGAAATTGGCAGCGATGAGATGCCGCTCACGCCGCCAGGCACGTCGGGAGACAACGAACGAAGGTAAGCGAAGAACAAATGGCTCGTAGCATCGGCAGCACTAGAGATTGTTAGAATACCATCTGAAAATATCAGATCAATGGACATCCATACACAGCCCAGTTCTTATAGGCGGCCTCGAAGCCATTGCCCGTATCGACATGCTCAAATGCCCACCAGCCAGCGTATCGCGAAAGTTTGCGGCCTCCCAAGCCATTAGATTTTCCATGGGCCGCGATGGCAGCCAAAAGATCGAAGAAGTCTAGAATAATATTGGTGCGTGCTTCGGAATCGCCGCCGATTGGAATGAAGGTCGAGAAAGCGTCGCGGGCCATATCCGAATCTAATGTTCCATCAGCGCGTATATTCCCCGCATTCCATTCAATGTCGCATACCATGTTCGCCCATCTTGAAAGTCTCGTACGCCTCCCAAGTGACAACACCGCCAGGAAGTCTGCTCCAGCACCATTTCATCACACCACAGAGAACCTATTCATAGAAATGAAGTTAGTGACTTTTCTGATAACCCCTGGGAAAGCCATTATCCCTCACCATCGGCTCAGTGAGCCGGAGCTCCTGCGACAAGGCATCTCCATTGACGGGTGAGCCCTTTTCGAAAGACTGATTAAAGTAATTGCGAATGAATGTGCGAGCTGCGCTGGGGTCGGAGCTAGGACGGAACGGTAGGAGGAGGAATGGCGTGTCGAGAGCTGCAGCGACGAATGATCAGCAATCCGAACAATGGTCCGTATTCCACGGTCAAGATATCAATCCACCACCTACCTCGGGCCTTGAGCTCATGTACACACCCTCGTACAAGGTCTTGGACTTCTTCCGGCGCGACTTCTGTCCGCTGCCACGCATCGGTCCATTTGGGTTTCGCAGGGGCTGTGTTGACGGCCGCGGTAGGCTTGGCCTGTTTCTTTGCCGTAGTGGAGTCCTTGCCCCGAAACACCCGAGCAAAGAAGGACATGTCGGAGATGCGAGGACTGACAATTGACTTTGCGTGTCAGAAAACGGACTGTGGGGGATGTTC